CGCACCCCGGGAGAGGTCCGGGGGGTTGCGGTATCGGTACCTTTTGGTTTCCCTACAGATGGGATCCGAGTAGATGGGGTCGGAGGATCGAGCGGCATCGCCGACGCATCGGCGATGCGGCTCGATGTGGAGCCCGACTTTGCCACGCCGACGTCGCCGATGCACCTCCGACGTCGCCGATGCATCGTCGATGCATCGGCGATCCGGTGCAATCCTCTCGGGCGACGAAATCTATACATATCCACTGCTCCCTGACCATGCCCATCTTGAACCCAGGAGCTGTGTATGCGCCCTCCTGGCCAAGCCAGGAGGGCGTGGCGTATACACCGCTGCGGGGTTGAGGATGGGCCTGGCCAGGGAGCAGTGGATATGTATAGATTTTGTCGCCCTATCCTCCGACCCCACCTGCTCGGACCCCATCTTGGAGGCCTCAGGGAAGTGAGCAGGAACAGGTCTTCTCTCGGACGGCGGCGGGACCCTCAGGGGCCCTCGCGCCTTCTGGGAGGTGCTCGGTGCCTGCGGGGGATGCTCAGCAAACTTCTCGGGAGGCTGCAGTCGGGGCCCATGCCAACAAGCACCCTGCTTGCCTCCAGGGTGCCCTGGGCTTCGAGGGTCTCGAGGGCTTCGTGATGGGAAGCGTGACGCTCCCACACCAAAAACCAAGGGACGTCCTGGGGTCTCAGGGTTGGGTTCCTCGTGGAAGGTCTCTTCTGGACTGGCCTCCGCTGTCAGGAACTTCCGAGCCGTCTGAGAAGGCCTGCCCCGTCTCACTCCCCCCCCGGGCTCGCCGCCGAGAGGAGGCCGTGAGGATGACAAGGCCCGGGGTCGGCGGCCTCGGTGGAGGAGGGGGATCACAGGAGGAAGAGGTACCCGTACCGCTACCTTTTTACAGTCGGGGCCCTGAAGAAGGAACCCTTTTGGTTGGGGAGGGGCTCCGCGTTCCTTAAGTGTTTCACAGCTTGCCCCAGGCTTTCCTTGTGTCTTCGACAGGAAAGCGAAGGTTAACTTATGGAAAAAAGGGGCCTCGTTCCTTATTTAGGGTTCCTTAGGTCAACGCCCCGACGGTAAGTCGGGCGTGTCCCTCTACAGGAGGAATATTCGAAAGTACTCCAAATTACTCTGGGGACGATCTTTGCATTATGTCTTGACTATTTTTGAATCTTGTTTGACTTCTTCATTTTTCGCTCAAAATCCGCCTGTTGGGGACATGTCCGACCTAACGCTACCCCTGCCTCGTTTTCCCTCTTTGAAGCCTCCTGGGAAGCCCGTGTCGCCACCGCTGGGTTCGCCTCGAAGTCCTGGTCAGAACGCACCCTGGGAGAAGTCCGGGTCTGTGGCCTCGGTGGAGGAGGAGGGGGGGAGAAGGAACAGGTACCCATACCGCTACCCATCGCGGTTCGGGGCTCGAGGCTTTCGGAGGCACTCGTCGGTTCTCGGCGGCTTTCCAGCCTCGGGACGGCTTCCAGCATCTGGAGGAGGGAGGGAGGGAGGGAGAAGGAATAATCCAGAGTTGTTCGCCACTCTACTTCCGGTCGTGCACGCGCTGGCTTCACAACTTTGGGGTAGGTCAAGCGCCGCGTTACGATCAGTTTTTCTCTGATCGTGGCCATCAAGACGCGACGGCTCACGCAAGCCAACGTTTGTCCAACGCAGACAAAGGGAGGAACAGGTACCCATACTGCTACTCTTTCCTCGTTTTCCCCTTTTTGGGCCTCCTGGGAGGCCCTCGTCGCCACCGCTGGATTCGCTTCGAAATCCTGGTCAGAATGCACCCCTGGAGAGGTCCGGGGAGTAGCGGTATTGGTACCTTGTGGTTTTCCCAGTGGACGCCATGACAATGTCATGTGATACTGCAACGCACGTGCCCTGAGATCGCGTAGCAACGAGGCGGCATGGATGAGCACTCGCACGCGCCGGAGTGCGAACTCCGCGAAATGCCACGGCTGACAAACACAACCTCCCAGAACAGAGCGAATGAGAAACATCACGGCCCAACCAAACAGGAAATATTGCAAGCAGCACAGTGCACACCTGGAAGCCACCACCAAATAAGAGACACTGTGTAACATCACGGCCCACCACTTGGAAGCAGCATTGGCGTAAGACTTAGGAGCAGCCTTTCTCCTTCTTGGAAGCACCTCATGCTCCTCGGCGTTCTTCCACACGTAGGAGCAAGGTTGAAATATTTCGGCCCGTGAGCAACACGTTGAAAGAGAAATAAATACCAGACAGTTCAAGCAGCAGGATGAAGGTGAGACAACCACTGACCACAGGTGGCTCCGACCCGAAAGCCCGAGTACCACCATTCGGATGAACATGATAAACTTGATGTGGTACTGAATGAGGCGTGGCAAGTCAGGCATGCGCTTCAGACCCTACGTGTACTCCTCGAGCGCAATAGATACAACTCCATACCAAACCCAACAAATTGAAAGCCGTACTCAACGAATTCGTCCAGTCTCGCCATCCGACAGCTGCTGCACATACAAGGTCGTCTCAGGAATCGGAGCCCCCAAGCGCAAAACACCAGACGCGACCTGGAGCCCGTCGCAAAGCCAAATGCTATGGATGGGACTCGGGCCATCTGTGTCTCAACGCAGAGTATCGCAACACAATGTAGCACACATGGATGCAATCAGTGCGGGTCAATACGAAGCAGCGCGGGGGAGCAACGCGAAGCAATGCAGGCAATGCGAGGCCAGGCAACGCGAAGTAATGCAAAGTAATGCTCGCGATGCGAACGGGAGGGGTGCAACAGGTGGGCGGCGACGAGGCGGCGGGGCGACGACATCGACAACAAGCTGGCCGAACCGACACCCAGGCCCAGTTCCTTTCATAGGAAGTGCGAAATCCGAAATGCAAACATGTTTTGGAATGCATACGTACTTACTTATATACACACAATTATGCATTGTCGCTTCGCGCCATGCACTTTGGTCCTTGAGGTTTGGCACGTAGACAGGGGGGAGGCAAGATAAAACTGAACATTTCGTGATAATTCGTTGTTGCCCATTTCCTGCATCGTCGTTGTAATATTATTCGCTATCCTTCTCTGATGTCTCTTCTTCCTTTTCTTCACTCTCGCCCTACCCTGCGAATGCGTCCCAATCCTCAGCTCATCTTGTGGAGACTCATCCTAGGAGGGCCTCGCGAAAGTTTTTGAGGCCTTGTTGGGGCCTTCTGGAGGCCTCCTGGGTTCCTTCTGGTGGCCTCTGGGGCTTCACTGGGCCACCCTCCTTCCAACCGCGGTCTCCCTGAACGACCGGGTCACGGTTTGGAAAGATTCGGTGGGCGTCTTAGGGCCATTTTGGGCCGTCATGGAGCTCTCTTCGGGCCATCTTGGGATCCTGTTGGGCCGTCTTGGGGCTCCTCTTGGACTGCCTGGAAGCCCTCTTGGTTAAACTCGGAGGGATTATTTGGCCTCCTGGGCGGTCTCGGACGCCCAGAAAACCGAAGAACAGAGCATTCCCAAATTCATGCAAAAACCATCGGAAAACAATATGTGTTTACTCGGCGGCGAGCCCGGGGGGAAATGAGATGGGGCGGGCCTTCTCAGAAGGCTCGGAAGTCCCCGCGCCTTCTGATAAGTTTTCTAAGCCTTCTGTGAAGACACAGAAAAATTCTCAGAAGGCGCGAGGGCTTCCGAGAAATCCCGCCGCTTTCTGAGAAAGCCTCCTCCTCCTCGATTCCCCCCCTTGCTCGCCGCCAAGTGTACGTTTCGAGTGCCTCTTGGAGGTCTTCTTTGGGCCGGCTTGAGCGTCCGCTGGGCGTCTGGGGCCTCTGTGTCTCTGTGGGCTCTCGCGGGGCCGTTGCGGCCGCCCAATGGACCGCTGTGGGCCCGCTGCCTGAGCCCAGCAGGGTCTGAGGAGCCCCAGAAAGCACACTAGGGGGCCACATGCGAACCCAACCCCTACCCCCCACGATCTCTGAGGGGGAGGGTGGGGTTCACTTCGCTCGGGAGCTCCCGAACGAGGTGAACCCCACCCTCCCCCTCAGAAATCGTAGGGGGTAGGGGTAGGGTTCGCATGTGGCCCCCCACACACGGGACCGTCTGCTCAGGAGCCTCGAGACCGGGGTCAATGCAAAGTGGGGGTCAGCCAGAGCGCCGGAGCTTGCAGAACCCCGCAGGGGCAGCGTCGCACTGACCCGGGCTTGGGAGCAGGATCCTGCAGGATCTTTCAGGCTCCTTCGCATTGACCGGGGCCTGTGTGCAGGATCTCGCAGGATCTTATAGGATCCTGCAAGGCCCGCTTTGCCCAGGTCTGGATTGACCCTGGTCGGCAGATCCCCGGTCTGCAAGGGCGGTCAGGGTGCCTCCGGGGTCGAGGATTTGGGGGGGTGTCCCGTGTAGGGGAGGGGTTCGCAGGCAGGGTCCCAGATTCCAAGAACGATGGAAGGTCTGTGAGCGCGCGCGCGCCCTCCCGTGCGGTGACTTTCTTCGCTTCGACGCTGCGCGCGAGGCCGCGACCGCCAAAAAGTGTGTGTGTGTGTGGGTCGGTGTGAATATGTGTGTGTATGTGTATGTGTATGTGTATGTGTATGTGTATGTGTATGTGTATGTGTATGTGTATGTGTATGTGTATGTGTGTGTGAGTGTGTGTGTGTGTGTGTGTGTGTGTGTGTGTGTGTGTGTGTGTGTGTGTGTGTGTGTGTGTGTGTGTGTGTGTGTGTGTGTGTGTGTGTGTGTGTGTGTGTGTGTGTGTGTGTGTGTGTGTGTGTGTGTGTGTGTGTGTGTGTGTGTGTGTGTGTGTGTGTGTGTGTGTGTGTGTGTGTGTGTGTGTGTGTGTGTGTGTGTGTGTGTTGTGTGTGTGTGTGTGTGTGTGTGTGTGTGTGTGTGTGTGTGTGTGTGTGTGTGTGTGTGTGTGTGTGTGTGTGTGTGTGTGTGTGTGTGTGTGTGTGTGTGTGGGGGGGTCTGGTCGTGCGCGTTTCTGCGCTCCCCCCCCCCCCCTGCACTCGCCCCCCCTTTCCGCCCCGGGCCCGCGAGGTGCGAGTACGAGTTCATGTCGACGCTGTCGCACCCGTCCCTCGTGCGCGCCCTCGCGATCCACGAGTCCCAGACGAGCCTCACGTTCAGCATGGAGTGCTGCGACGGCGGGTCCCTCGAGAGCCACGTGGCGGGCCACGGGGCGATCGCGCCGGCCGCCGCGGTGCCGCTGGCGAGGCAGGTCCTCGAGGGCCTGGACTACCTGCACGGCAGGCGGATCGTGCACAGGCCGTTGGAGGGTCGAGGAGGAGGAGGAGGAGGAGGAGGAGGCGGAGGCGGAGGAGGAGGAGGAGGAGGAGGAGGAGGAGGAGGAGGAGGGTCGGGCCGTGGGCTCCTCGGGGTGGGGGGCAGCAGGAGGAGGGCCCGTGGCAGCACAGTCGTGCCCCCACGGGCTCCACGGCCGGCTGGTCGCTGGGGCGCGGCACGATGACGCGGCGATCGGGTACTCCAGATTTCGTAATAAAAGGGAGGGGGTCACCTGCGGCGAGTCACCGCTGCCCCCCGCCTTCTGTGGCAGCGCCCACGCCCGGCCACACGCTGGACCCAAGTCTGGCCGAGCTATTGGACAGTGCGTCCTGTGTCCACTCGAGACAGAAAGCCGCCTGCCCAACAGCGGCCGCTGTTGGTTTGGGACATCATTTATTGCTGGGCATTGTACTCCAGATTTCGTAATAAAAGGGAGGGGGTCTGGACCCTCCAAGACAAGCCATTTCAGACCTCCCCCGTGGGAGAACCCTCCAAAACATCGTCCCCAGATCCCCCAGGCCCTCCAAGATAGCCTGGAAGAGACCCCCCCCCGAAATGAGACCCCCCTCCCTTTATTACGAAATCTGGAGTAGTATGTTGGTGAAGGCTGTGTTAGGTCAGACGGCTTACTTGGCCAGCCGAGAAAGAGAGAGAGAGAGAGAGAAACAAACCAAACAAAGAAAGAGGCTCGTGACCCTGGGGGATGGCGGCCAGAGTCCGCAGTGAGTGCTGGTGCGCTTGCACAAGTGGCTGGGCCCGGCCTTTCACACTGGGTCAGCGTCGGCGGCTTCCACACTTCCCCCCTCACCCTCTCTCCCCTGGCTGATCTGCGGTCCTGGCACCCGCCCCTCTTTAGAGCAGGTGGCCACCAGGGCCAGGCGCGGAACTATGGGTGAGTCCTACACCCCCGTTTTGCCCCGCCGCCCCCCTTCTCCCTTGCCCTGTCTGCTTCTAGTACGATGTTCCACTTTCACTTCTTCTGGCTTTCCTGTGTTGTGCACGTTCTGTTCGAAGCCGTTCCGAACTTTAGCCCTGCGACTTGGTCGGCATTTCATGTTTCGTAACGCGGATGCTGCCCATCGTGTTGCCGTTGCGCGGCTTTGCTGCGTTGCTTGCCCCTCGGCAGCGGGTATCCGCACGCTCGAGTCTCGACAGGGACATCAAGCCAGACAACCTTCTGCTGTGCAGTGGGACCACGACGGTCAAGATAGGGGACTTCAACAGCGCGAAGCAGATCGGGGACCTCGCGTCGCTCACGGGCGCCATGCTGACGGACCGCGGCACCCGGCTGTACAGCGCCCCTGAGCTCCTGGCCGCGCACGGCTGGAACGAACGCGTGGACATCTGGTCTTGTGGCCTGAGCGTGTGCTTCATGCTCCTCGGGCGCCTGCCCTTCGATCCGGACTGCGGCCGCGTGGGCAAGGCCCGCGGGGAAGGGGAGAAACGGAGAGGCGAGCGCGAGAGCGACGGGGGGCGGCGAAGGAGAGGGGAGGAGGACGAGGAGCACGGGGAGGAAGAGACAGGAGCAGTGGGGAGGGAGGAGGAGGCGGAGGAGGGGGAGGGGGAGGGGGAGGAGGAGGGGGAGGGGGAGGAGGAGGAGGGGAGGAGGAGGAGGAGGAGGAGGAGGAGGAGGAGGAGGAGGAGGAGGAGGAGGAGGAGGAGGAGGGAGGAGGAGGAGGAGGAGGAGGAGGAAGGAGGAGGAGGAGGAGGAGGGGGAGGAGGAGGAGGAGGACCAGTGTATACCCAAGGCTCAGCAACGATGTTGGAATACACACTCCCTCCAAGCTCCCTCGTCGTAGGCCCCTACAAGGGCTCATTTCCACTTCGGGAACTGCCTCGTTGGGAGATAACAGTTTGCATACCTTGAAGCGTACCAAAGCACCACTCTCGGGAGTCCATCGCCACGAATTAACATGATTGTTGCGTCTTGACGAGCTGGAGTCGTGCCACAGCACCATTCTTGGAGCTTCAACAACACCGCGAGTCAGCGCAACTACTGCGCCCTCGCAATCCAAAGTCCGTCCAAAACACCATGTCTGGCACGTTGACCATGGGAATCCGTGAAACTTTTTGTGAATGTTGAAAAAGAAAGCGCACGGCGCTAACGCGAACGCCACATAATGAGAACCACCCGCCCGCATTCCATGAAACGTTTGCAAGTTCTGAAACGAATGCGCGCAGCGCTATGGCGAGAGCCACATTTTGAAAACAACCCGCCCTCAATCCGTGAAGCTCTTGCAAAGTGTTCAAGCGAATATGCGCGGCGCTAA